TCATATGGAAAAACAAAAAACACAGGATAGTGTGTTTTATCAGGATATTGTTATCCTGAACAATAAAAAAAAAACTGCTAGAGGTATTATCATCCCTGATTTCACATTGTACTACAGAGCTGTAGTAATAAAACTATATGGTATTGGCATAAAAATGGACACAGTAATCAATGGAATCAAACTGAAGACCCAGTTATAAATCCACACACCTATGATACCTGATTTTTTTAAATAAAGAAGCTATAAATACACACTGAAAAAATAGAAATCATCTTCAGCAAATGATACTGGTCAAACTATGTCCACATGTAGAAGAATGCAAATAGATCCATATTTGTCACCCTGCACAAAGCTCAAGTCTAAGTAGATTAAAGATCTCAACATAAAGCCAGACATACTGAACCTTATATAAGAGAAAGTAGGGGATAGACTTGCACACACCGGCACAAGAGACCACCTCCTTAGCAGAACATCGATAGCACAGGTGCTAAGGCTGACAATACAATGGGACCTCATGAAACTGAAAAGCGTCTGTAAGGCAAAGGACACAGTGTATATGGACAAAGAGGCAGCCTACGGAATAGGAAAAGATTTTTACCAACTCCACATCTGATAGAGGTCTAATATACAAAATATATAAAGAACTCAAGAAACTAGATACAAAAAAAAATAATCTAATGAAAAAATAGTAGTACAGATCTAAACAGAGCATCCTTGATAGAGGAATTGCCCATGGCCGAGAAACACTTAACAAATGTTTAACATCTTACCTGTCAGGGAAATACTAATCAAAACAACTCTGAGATTCCATCTTACACCTCTCAGAATGCCTAAGATCCAAAAACACAAGCGACAGCTCATGCTGGGGAGGATGTGGAATAAGGGACTAGGGAAGCACTCTTCCACTGATGGTTGGAATGCAAGCCTGTACAGCCACTGTAAATCAATATGGCGGTCCCTCAGAAGGTTAGGAGTCAATTTACCTCAAGAACCACTTACATCATCTTAGGCATATACCCAAAGGACACTCCATCCTACCACAGAGACGCTTGCTTATTAACTATGCCCATTACAGCTTTACCTATAATATCCAGAAACTGGAAACATTCTAGATGTCTATCAACTGAAGACAAATGAGGTAAAGATAAAGAAAATGTGGTATGCTGACATAATGGAGTATTACTCAGGTGTAATAACACTTAAAATGACATCACAAAATTTTCAGACAAGTGGATGCAACTAGAAAAAATCATCTTGAATGAGGTGATCTTAACTCAGAAAGACAAACATGGCATGCACTCACTTATAAATGGATATTAAACTGTTAAATAAATGATTATCAAGCTACAATCCACAAATCCAGAGAGGTTTGATACAGAGGAGGACTCTGGGGATACATGGATCATTCTAGGAAGGAAAAATAGAATAAATTTTGTGGGTGGCCCGGGGCATGGGGGGTGGTAATGAGAAGGATAAGATGGGGGGGATTGGGAGAGAGAGTCGGGGAGAGACAATTAGAACTGGGTAGTATGGGAGCTGACCTAGCGCAGTGGAAACTTCCTGGAATCTCTGAAGATGACCTAGTAAGGACTCATAGTAACGGAGGACACAGTCTTAACTTGCCATGTTTTGTGGCCAGACAAGGCTTCTAGTGGTGGGACTGGGTCCACTAGGTTGAGTTGTTGGCTGGGGGGTGGGGGGAATTTGGGGGGGGGAACCAATGGAGATCCCTAAACAACCCAGGCTGATGCTAGAGCAGAAGGTGGCTCTCTGAAAACTGATACTGGGCACTGTTGCCAAGAACAACATCCACACAGCTCATTCAAACATAGAGGTCAAGCTGGTGCCTGCATGGAGCCTTCATCTCTATTTTATAGCCTCTTTGACTCGAGAAGGTACTCTACAAACTATGAGAAGAGAAACCTGGACAGCAACTCGGTCACAAAACCTTCAACCTATAATCGGTCCTGCCCAAAAGACGTGCTAGGACAATGGTGGTGCAGAACTTGTGGGAGTGGCCAGGTTGTGTCTGGTTTAACTTGATGCCCACTCCATGAGAGGGAGCCAAAGCTCTACGCTGCCTGGATGCCCAAGAATCAGAGACTGGGTAGCTCAGAGACCTAAGGTAAAACAAAACATGACTGACAAAAAATATAAAACAAAACTATGACAACAACAAAACTATGTGTGGGGACTGGAAAAATTAATGTTCAGTGGTCAAGAGCTGTGTGCTGAGCAATGGTGGGGCACACCTTTAATCTCAGCACTCAGAAGGCAGAGTCAGGCAGATAGCCTGGTCTAAAGAATGACTTCCTGGATAGCCAGGGCTACACAGAGAAACCCTATCTTTAAAAAACAAACAAAAAAGCAATAACAAAAAAATCGACTGCACTTCCAGACCTAAGTGTCATTCCCAGTACCCACATGGCAGTTCATAACAGTCTGTAACTTCAGAACCAGGAGATCTGAAGCCTTCTTCAGGCCTCAGCAGGCACTATGTTCAGATGCTGCCCAGACATTCGTGCAAGCAAAACACTCATAGACATAAAAATAAATAAAATCTCAAAATAACTTTTTTTAAACTGCATTCCAGTAATCCCAGCACTCAGGAGGCACAGGCAGGAGGATGAGCGATTCAAAGTCACTCTTAGCTACATATCCGAGTCAAGTCTCACAGTAATAGGAAGGAGGGAGAACAACTCGGAAGTTCTAGCTAACCCGGAAGAGAGGTTCAGATTCACCAGGGCCTCCGCTCTCCTTCATACTGACCCTACGACACTTGGCCACAGCAGAGGTCAGGCTAAGTCTGCTACCAGAGATGAAATATCTCCATGGCCAGACCCCACACCTTCCTCCCATCAAAACCTACTAGTAAGCAGGGTGGAAGGTGCACGGAGGTAGCCCTACCTCGGCAAGCCGGGACAAAGGATGACTTGGGCTCAGAAATTCAGTATCAACCTGGCCAACGTATAGAAGCCCTTTCTCCAGAAACGAAGGGCCTGGGAGTGCCCAAGAAGTTGCCCCTTTTGTTGATTCCAAATCTCCAAAGATAACCACCCACCCACTTATCTGTTCTGTCCTTAGTACCTTGTTCTGGGGACAGCTAGGACACAATTACTCTGAGGAGGTTCATGTCAGTTTTTGTCCGGTTCTTAGGGCTTCATCTTGTGACATGAGTCACTCTGACACTGAGCTGGCTCAGCTCAGCTCTCCCATCTTCTCAGCCTATCTTGAGAAAGCCCTGTACCTGAAATGGGGGTAACTCTTTCTGCCTTTGATGCCAAGAGTTCACTGCAGAAGGGAGCCCTATGAGAAGGAGCCTCTGTGCCCATTCTCTCCGATATCTCTAGAAAACATCGACATATCAGGCCCATTCGGCACCTATGCCAAGAGGTCCCAGTACCAAGGTTCAGCTGAGTAGCGCCAGGCTAGATCTGCAGTGATTGTGCAGAGAAGGAAGCGTCACAGCCTTACCCCCTCTATACTAGTTGAGGGGGAAAGAAATCACCTGGGAAAAAAAGCCAAACCGTTTTGTCTCCATTTACCATGGAACACAGCTGCCCTGTGTTAAGGAGTCAGGCCCCCCAGACTTCAGGGTGACCTTGAACACAGCCTGCTGCCTCCAGCTTCCTGCCCCCACTGCACCTCAAGCTGGAGGCTATTTGGGCTGTGCTGAAACTCAAGGATCCTATAATCTCCTCCGACCGTTGAAAAAACTTTGCTCAGGTGCCTCATATAACTTTGGGGGGATAACTGTATTTGTTGGTTTATTAGAAAGGATGGAAAAGGGGACTAAGACAAACAGATGTATAAAGCAATCTTCTAGAAGAGCAGAAGAGCACCCTTCAGACGCCTCACTCCCCAGAAACCCTAATACCCTAACTATCCAGAAACTTACTGACCCCTGTCAATTGACTAGTGAGTTCGCTGGCTTTATTTTTCTGAAGTAGGGTCTCATGTACCCCAGGATGGCCTCAAACTCCCTACATAATCAAGGATAACCTTGAACTCCTGATCCTCTAGCCCTCACCTCCCAAGTGCTGGGTGGGATCTTGGATCTTGGACATACGCCACCAAAATTGTTCCCAATAGAACTCTTTCTGTTGGCTTTGCTTGTGACTTAATGACACAGGAATTATAGAGTAAAGCAGACATTTGTGAGCCAGCCTTGCCCTCCTGTACCAGATTGAATCATAGAGCTAAAAAGACCCAATCCACTAAGCCTGTGTTGCTCTTTCATGAACAACCCGGATCTTGAAGCTGCCTACAGCCTACTAACCATCAGCTCAGTCCCAGACAAAAGGTCAAAAGTCAAAGGTAGCTCAGTGGTAGAACACTTGTCTCATGTGCACAAGACTTGGTGTTTGCCACCAGCACTAAGAACAGGAAATTGTGCTTCAGGCTGGGCTTGGTGGCAAATGCCTGAAACGGCAACACTGGGGAGGCCGATACAAGGGGATCTTAAGTTGAGAGTCAGACTGAGCTATACAGCCAAGACTGCCATCAAGCCTGAGAAGCTGAGCTCCACACATGGCAGAAAGGACCACTTCCCCAGAACTGTCTTCCAAACTCCACACCCATGCAGCGGCACACATACGGACTCATTAAACGAACAAACAAATGTAAAAACGTTATTTAAAATGGATGTAATTGTATTGGGTTGTTTTTTTTTTAAGTGCTCAGCACACGCCAGCAAGTGATTATTGTGGAAATGATTAAATGGCCAACTGAATGTAATATAAACCTCTTCCACCCATCAGGTCCCTCCATCTCCCAGTCTTTGTATTCTTCTCCTCAAATTCCAGTCACCCATCGGCCATATAACCGATGAGAGAACATACCTGACCATTTTTAAGTAAAATGGATTGCACTGTATAAAAATCTTACTTAACCCAAACTTTAAATCTGATTGGATTAAGAAGAGACAGGTGGGGAGTAAGATAGGAAGTGGTATCACCAATAAATACCTCATGGAGGTGGGTACCACCCTAGAATTCAGCTGGGGGCCGGAAGAGAGACCACCAGAGGAGAGGTGAGCACAATTAGGCAATATCTTCTTCACTTCTCAGCCCTCTGCTAGGGACAGAGGCAAGACTTATTACTCTGCAAGTACTGTCTGAATTTAGCCCATGCCAGCCAGTGTAGGGACACAGGGTTCCTCACTTAAGCAGTACAAGGTGGGACACAGACTTTCAACACCCAGCCTGGAGAAGTAATGGTCTTCATTCTCTTGAGTCCAACCAAAGCTTGACTGACTAAACAAGGTAGGAGACGTATTATTCCCATGGGCTCATTCAATATCCGTGTGGGACAAGGGAGTTAGAACGTTCACGGGTCAAGGTCAGCAATGTCCAATAGAAATAGATCATGGCCCACATATGTAATGAGAAACTTTCTAATTATCAAGGTAAGGAAAGTAAAATGAAATAATTTACCTCAATTTATTTCAATATCAAAAATTAAGGAGCTGAGGAGACGGAGACGGCTCAGGGTTAAGAGCACTGGCTCTCTCGTACAGAGGCCACCTACATGGCAACTTACAACTATTTGTAACTGCAGCTCCAGGAGCTCCAACACATCTGGCCTCCCTGGGCACCAGCATTCATGTACATATACCCACATGTAGACACATATAAGTATACATAACTAAAATTAATAAAAAATAAATCTTAACCTATATGCTACACCATGTAATTAGTAAAACAATGTTAATGAAAACAGTTTGTGTTCTTTTTCCCCATCTTTCAAGCTGAATATGTATTTTATACTCACAGCACATTGCAATTCAGATAAGCTCCACTGGACCAGTGAGATGGTTCAATGAGTAAAGGTGCTTGCCGCCAAGTCTAACAACCTGAGTTCAATCTCCAGGCCCCACATGGTAGAGAGAGAGCTGACTCTACAAGCTGTCACTTGACCATCATACATGCACCACGGCCCACACACCTCCCCACACATATTCACACAAAAATAAATATTAAGATATTAAATAAAGACAGATACATCCCTTTTCAAGTACTCCACAGTCCCATGTGGGCTAGTGACTGCCAAAATCTAGGTAAAGACCCTTTCACCCCCTCAACTGAAAGGTCAGGGAAGAATCATATCTGTTCAGCTAGCATTTCAATTATCAGAAGTTCAAGGTTGTGAGTCGGTTAGATCTGTGTTTTGTTCTTGTTTTTATACCTGTTACTAATGACTGTGATAGGCCCGTGTCATCTCGTGCAAAGATGACAATTTCCAAGATCTAACAGTCATTTAGCTCACGACAATTCCAGTATCGTGTATGTTTTTCCCCTCAGGCACTGACCATGGCTCATCACTTTAAAGAGAATAGTAGCTGTTATTTCTGCTCTCGTTATCTGGAGAAACCTGTGTACTTGACCTGCGGATACATCTGCTGCTTCCAGTGCCTTGACTCACTAGAGAAAAGTCCTGAAGGGGATGGTATACTGTGCCCCATTTGCTCTGATGTCACTTTGAAAGAAGACATCATACATGCTAAACAGTTAGGGAGCCTGATTACCAAGATCAAAAACGCAGAGTCGTCGCTGAATTTTGTTCTGACAATGAACCCAGCTATGAAGGTATTTCAAGGTAAGAAGTCTTCAAACATCTCCAAATCCATAAGCTGCTCTGGGAATACCAACTTCCTAACATCTCCCTGTTAAATTCTGAACATTAGCTAAAATCAGGAACCTAAAATTCCATTCTTCCCAAAGCACAGCGGCTCTCAATTTCCCCAAGTATAGATTAGGAATATCTGGGAAAACTGTCTGCCTCTGCCTCCTAAGTGCTGAAACAAGGTATACACCATCACACTACACCAACCTTGAGAGTTTTTATTTATTTTGTGTGTATAAGCGTTTGCCTGCATGTATGTATATATGTTCACCACATGCACACCTAGGTGCATGTGGAGGTCAGAAGAGGGGATCAGATTCCCTGAAAATGGAGTTACAGGTAGTTGTGAGCTGCCATGTGAATGCTCAGAACTAAATCTGGGTCCTCCACAAGAGCAGCAAGTGATTTTTACCACTGAGTTATCTCTCCAGCCCCATCCTCCTGGAAAATTTTAAGGGCATACAATATTTAGGTCATGCCTAGTCCTCTACTATCCAGTATGGTAGCTACTGGTAGCTATTGAACACTTGAAATAATAATATATTATTATATAAAATGATTATATTATATAGTATACATAATAATTACAAATAAATTATAAATAAAATAATTATATATAATTAGTGCATATTATACTATTAAAGTATAATACTTAATCCTAAGTAAAATATACTGTCATAATACTAATTGTTCATATTGTTTTTTAAATTTTTTTCAATTACATTTGTGTGTGTGTGAGTGCACACATGCCACAGCATATGCACATGAAGGTTAGAGGACAACTTGCAAGGCTCAATTCTCTCATTCCTCTGTGAGGGTCTGTGGGCTCGAACTCGGATCATGCAGCTTTCAGAGCAAGCTTTGACTCACTAAGCCATGTAGCTAGCCCTCATATTACTTTTGATATATTTATGAGAAAATCTAAACTCTGGATCCACATTGACTTTATTTTGATGACAATACCCTCAGGAAATAACTTTTCGAATTTGATAATGTCTCAATTACCTCACAGCCTGCTTTGAGGCAGATTTTGATTCTGCAGTGCAAGGTTTTCCTGACCCAATCCAGGCGGTGCTAATACTGTTGCCTCACAGTGCACATGTTGATTGGCACTGGTGAATATGGCATGTGTCTGACAGTGAGACCCGGGATCTGAAGTGCGCAAAAGTTCCCGGGTGATTCTGATGTACAGAGAACATAGGCAATCAGTGTAAAGGATTAAATCATCCAGACGCTCAGGGCCCCCAGGCAGCATGGTGGAAGTCGTCTGATGACCATATAGAGTTACGTCTAATTACAGACAGACTCAGGGCCCAATGACTACTTCAGTGCTGCAGAAAATAATGTCTGCGTGCGGTGCGTGCGTGCGGTGCGTGCGTGCGTGCGTGCGTTCGTGCGTTCATTTGAGGTCATGTAGAGGTCAGAGGACTCAAGAGAATAACTTTGCGGCATCTGTTCTCTCCTTCCATTTTTATGAGTGTATGTATGTTCTGGGAATCAAACCCAGGCTTTCAAGGCAAGCACCATCTCCTATATCACATTTATTCTAGACTGCTCTTATGTCTTAGAGAAAGGTATGCAACTAAAATGAATTATCATAGCCCAGTGGTATGTAAAATGAGGTGAGGTCAAAAGGCCAGTCTAGCCTTACTGGAGTCCTGAACCCAGGCTCATTGGAATGTACACAGTCCTTTCTCATTCTCTTTGTTCTTGGCAGCCGCATAAAGTGTTGCTACAATGGGTGTGCGTTTTTGCATAGCTCTATCTAAAATATTAGCTGTGGGGGGAAAAAAGGAACTTATCTTTCTGTTATCTACTTTGTTTTGGTTTGCTGTTGAGATGGAGTCTCACAGTGTAGACCTACCTGCCCTGGAACTCAAATAAATCTACCCGCTTCTGCCTCTGAGTGCTGGAATTAAAGATATATGGCAACATCCCTGCCCAATTATTTAGCTCTTGTTCCATACAAACTTATATTTATGATGCTGAAACGCATTCCAGAATATTCTTTGTCTTCAATAACTCCTTCAATTAGTGAACAGTATAGTTTTCCCCGCACTGAGCCAAGTAACTTAGGAAGCTCTCCTAGTATCCTAACAGGCTGCTGCTGTGCTAAAACACTAACCAGAAGCAACTTAGGGAAGGAAGAGCTTTATTTGGCTTACACTTCCAGGTCACAGTCCCGTCATTGACAGAAGTCAAGGCAGGAAATCAAGGAGGAAGAACACTGCTTGCTAACGTGTTTTCTGGCAGAGTGATCTTTCTCATGTTTAGCCAGCTCCCTCATCTACCCCAGGACCACCTTCCCACATATAGGCCAGCCTACATCAATTATGCCAAGTTGGCAGAAAATGAAAACTAGGACAAGAGCCAGGTGAAACTCTGGGTTTTAGTCAAAGGGTCTGAGGTTTATGTCGGCTCCATTCTCACTTGATTGGGATAAGCAGTACTTCTCCTAGGTCCTGGTATTTAAGGGCTACTTTGAAGGCCACCAAGTTATTCCTTTCCAAGTTTATCTGACCCTCTGAACCCATGTGTTTCCCTTAGAGGACACACTCAAGATTTAAACCATGACACCATGCAATTTCTGGTCTGAACTGTTGCCAGGAACCCAACATATACACCAAGTGTATGTTTCTAATCCCAGCACTTTGGAGGCAGAATCAGATGGACCTCTGTGTGTTCACAGCTACCCTAGTCTATATGAGTTCCAAACCAGCTTCCACCATACATATTCATGAGCATGGGAATTCCTTCCTGTATCCTCATTTCTCCAAAATTAACCTGCCCCTGCTCAGGACTCCAAGCAATAACTCTTTGTTTTCTATGTTCATGTTTGTATGTGTTAATGTGCATGCGGAGGCCAGAGGACAACCTCAGCTGGCATTCCTTAGCTGCCACGCACCCTGTGGGTTTTTTTTTTTTTTGCAGGGGTGGGGGTTGTGGGGGTGGCTAGGCTAGGCTAATTGGCCAGCAAGCTAATTGAATTCAAGTCCCAGTCACCTTTTTTATAACTCTATTAAAAAAATAAACATGTCTTAGAGAACGAAACTCAGGTAGATGCTGATGTGGATGCCAGGAAGTGCATGCTGACAGGAGCCTGTTATAGCTGCCTCCTTAGAGGTCTGTCAAAGCCTGACATATACAGAGGTGGATGCTCACAGCTAACCATTGAACTGATCATGGGGTTCCCAATGGAGGAGTTAGAGAGAAGACTGAAGTAGCTGAAAGGGTTTGCAGACCCATGGGGAGAGCAACAATACCAACCAACCAGAGCTCCAAGGGTCTAAACCACCAGGCTGGGAGCACATAGGGAGGGACCCATGGCTCTAGCTGTTTATGTATGGGAGGATGGCATTGTCGGGCATAGGTGGGAGAGGAGGTCCTTAGTCCTGTGAAAGCTGGACGCCCCAGTGTAGGGGAATTCAAGGGCAGGGAGGTGGGAGTGGGTGGGTGGGTGGGTGGAGGCACATCCTCATAAAAGCAAGAGGGGGGATGGGATAGGGGGTTCCTGGATGGGGGAGAAATGAGGAAAGGGGATAACATCTGAAATGTAAATAAAATATCCAATAGAAAAAATAAATAATAAAAAAAATATGCCTTAGAATGCAACTCATAGGGCTGATGAGGTAGCTCAGTCGATAGGTCTTGTGCCAAGCCTGACAACCTGAATTTGATTTCCCAGGAACAACATGATAGAAAGAGAGAACCAACCTTTCAGCTGTCTTCTGATTTCCATATACATAATTGTGGTATACACACACATGTATAAATAATGTAAAACACTTTTTAAAGAATCCAATTACCTCGTCAATGGGATTAAATAGGTGGCTGCAAAAAAGTAATATTTTCTTACTCTACAATAAGTATTGTTATCTTCTGCCCTTCGGATATTAACTTAAGTATTACATATGTCAAATACTCAATGGTGTTGAAATTTTCTACTGTGGTTTGGAGAAACATTTTTTGGCAACCACTTTTATTCTATATAAAATGTTACTGAACTAGGAAGGTCTTGAAAATTTCCACAAAGTGTAACTTTAAAAAAGAGTAGAATTAAATAAAAGTGAGATATAAATAGCCTTAACAGTAAATATGTTGGCTTCTTATCTTTGCTGAACTACTGGATTTTCTTTACACAGTGAACATGACCTTGGATGTGGACACAGCCCAAAACTACCTCATCATCTCTGATGACCTGATGAGTGTCTACCATACGTCTCAGGAGCAAGACCGAAAGAAATGTGCAGAAAGATTCCAAATTTCTCCTTGCGTCCTGGGCTCTTCCCGGTTCACTTCCGGCCGCCATTACTGGGAGGTAGTGGTGGGAAACAGCAAAGAATGGGATATAGGTATTTGCAAAGAGACCATTAATCGAGAAGAGGCTATTTATTTGTCAGAAAAAAATGGCTACTGGACCGTGGGTGTGAGAGATAGTGAGGTCTATGCTGCCAGCACTGATCCGTTAACTCCACTACTTGTGAACCCTCGGCTGCATAGAGTGGGTATTTTCCTGGACCTGGTGAAGAAGAGTGTTTCTTTCTGGGACCTTGGTGATGGCTCCCATATCTATACATTCCTTGAAATTCCAGACACGGATCCATTTCGCCCATTCTTTTCGCCAGCAAATACTCATCCAGAGGACGGAGAACAAGTCCTCAGTATCTGTCCTGTGACAAATCCAGCCATTTGGGGACTTCCAGTTAACCCCACATAAGGGAAATAACCTTTGAATATGAAAGCTGCTATGGAAGTCATAACCATGGCTAAGAATTTTTGAGTTTGGTATACATAGAGTACAAAAGCATTACAGAAATATATGGAGGGCCTCATGAATTCTAACTAGTTACAGGAAATGGTATTTTTAATATAAAGTATTATCATGGTTGTTTCCTTTGGAATTTGTTTAAATTTCTGTTCCCATTCATATATTGTGAACTTTTACTTTGGTTTCCTTTTTAGTTGCTACAATATTAGTGTATGGTGTCGTGGAATAAATTAAATTAACATACACCTAAGCAGGGTGATTAATTTTCTAAATGACTGGGAAATAAGACCTATATATCAATAGTAAAACAGAGAAATGTGTATATATGCTGTCTCAACCAATTGCTTTTAATATCACAAATCATCACACATACACATTGAATATTCACTAAGGGTAGATATATGTAGTTATTAAAATGCTAATTTTTAAGATAAATTATATGTACTCTGGGGGCTGGAGAGAGATACCGCAATGGATTATATGCTTGCCAGGCATAAGGACTTGAGTTAAATCCCCAGAACTCCCATAAGAGATGGGGAGGTAAGACTAGACAGAAGACTAGACAGAAGACTAGACTCAGTGGTTAAGAGCACTTGCTGTTCTTCCAGAGGACGCAAATTCAATTCCCAACACCACATCAGGCAGCTCACAATTGCTGTAGCTCCAGCTCCAGAGAGTCCAGTGCCCTCTTCTGGCCTCCATACATACTTGTACACATATACACATGCTTACACAGACACACCACATATACACATAAAAATATCAATCTTAAACATAGCCATTCAGCCTAAATAAGTAACAGAGTAACATGCACATGGTGAGAGCGAGCAAAACAGCCAAAAATGGTGACTCGTAACTATAACTCCAACACTTGTAAAAAGATTAGCCAAGAGGACTAAAAGCTCAAGACCAACCTGGGTTTTAAAGTGTGTTCAAGGCCATTGTGGGCAACTTAGTGAGACCCTGTCTCAAAAGAAAAAGAGGGTTGGAAATGTAGCTCAGTGTAAGAGCGCCTGCCTAGCAAGCATGGGACCCTAAATTCAATCCTCAGCCCCAAACCAAAAAAAGTGAGGCCAGGGTGGGTATATAGTTCCATGGTAGAACATTTGCTCAGCATTTGTGAGGTCCTAGGCTCAAGTCTCAGCGAAAATAAAAGTTTTAGGTCAAACATAGTGATACACACCTATAATCCCAGAACTTGAGAGGTGGAGGCAGGAGAGTCACAATTTTAAAGTCATCTTTGGCAGTATAGAGAAGCCAGCTTAAGCTATGTAAAACCCTGTTTCAAAAGCCAAGGAGGTAGCAGATCATGGTGAAACACGGGTGAAGTGGAAACTTAAGGGTTCTTTGGAAAGTCAGCTGGATGGTGTTTTACTGGGGCACACATGTAAAGGAATGTTTAGCTGAAGCAGACACAGGAGAAAAGATGTTCTGCTAAAGCGAGCACGTGAAAGCACACATGATGGAGTCTCTGCTAACAACACACATGTACTGGTCTGCCTTACATTGCTTAGTTGACTCCATCTCCATCAGGACTCCATAGAGAGAAACACACTAAAAAACTTCTGGTGGTTTGCCTCGGCTCCCCTCACCCCTGCCCCCACCCCCGCCCCACTTCCGTGGACTCAGGCTGATTGGCACAGTGATGTCAGATGAGACAAGTGCACATGCTTAGACAAGACATGTGGAGGACACGTGATGTTTGGAGGGTATAAATAGGACTGGATGGTCAGTGACAAGAGACAGAGCCTGGCTGATATGGCTTGTGGGTCTTGCGTCTACCCTGAGAGAGGCACAGCCGAGAACTTCCAGTGTTCCTCCTGGTCCCTGTTGTTGACTTGTGCTGAGGCTGAGACCTGGCTGCCTCTGCTAGGTAGTGGCATCACTGCTGATTCATGACTCTACTACACTGCATTCCTGGTGTATGTATCCGTGAAGTGTTCGCAAGTAGATTAAGCTGTCACTGCCGACCAGTGAATTAAACTGGTAATTTCCAGACAACACAGACAGGAGTGGCTCCAAAGAACCTTTCTAAACGAGTCTACTTCTCCATACCTCTGGTGGGTAGTGGGCTAAAAGGGAGGTTAAGGCATTAAAAATAGGTTTTGGAAAAAAATTAAAGTTACACGAGTTTAATTCCAGCACTCAGGAGGCAGAGACAGGTGAATCTCCGTGAGTTTGAGGCCAGCCTGGTCTACAGAGTGAGTTTCTGGACAGCCAGGGCTGTCTCAACAAACTAAAAGTCAAAGGCCCAATGATATGGCTCAGCAGGTAAAGATGTTTGTTTCCAAGCCTGATAACCTGAGTTTGAGTCCTGGAGTCCATGTGGTAGAAGAAAAGGTGTCTTCTAAATTATACACACATGCTCTCTCTCTCTCTCACACACACACACACACACACACACACAGAGAGAGAGAGAGAGAGAGAGAGAGAGAGAGAGAGAGAGAGATCCAAAATAAACATGAACCTTTCATTTCATGCCATCAAATTTCTAGCCCCATAACTTCCACCTGACTTGTTTGCTTTTTTGTTCTGTGTTTTGATAGGAAGGGAAACCTGTCACAGAGCACATACAGAGGTCAGAGAACCACCTTGGGAGTCAGTTTTCTCCATTTACCACATAGTTCCCAAATTGAACTCAGATTGTCAGGCTTTGCAGCAAGTGCCTTTACCCATTGACAGGCCACCAGGAGGTAGAATAAGGTTGACTTGGGAGAAGGACAAGCCTGAGCTGGGTAGTGGAGAGTGAGGTATGGGTGTGTGACTTTATACAAACCTATGGACAGCAAGGCTGACAGTCAGTACTCATTTGCTGCAACAAAGCCACACAGATTGGTGGCTTAGACAGCATAGACACATTTTCCTCACTAATCGTGGAGGCTGAAAGTTCAAAGTCACATGTCAAGGTTGGTTTCTCCAGAGACATTTAATTGGTTTGTATATGGTGCTATAGTCGTCCTTCCATGCATCTGAGTTCATCCCTTCTTGTTCTTCCACAGCATATAAAGTAATGGGTTTATGACACCCATATGAACTTTATTTTTATTGCTGTGGGGGGGGGCAGAAAAAAGGACATCAAATCCCCTGGAACTGGAGTTACAAGGATTGTCAGCCACCTGATATGGGTGCTGGAATCTGAACCCCAGTATTCTGCAAATGCCCCTAAACTGCTGGACCAAGCCTCCTGTCCTATTTTTTTTTTTTAGTGTGTATACTTATACACTACACACATATGTGCTACAATGAACATTTGGAGGTCAGCAGACAACTTGTAGAAGTAAGTTCTCTCCTTCCACCATGTGGGTTCTGGGCCCAAACTCAGGTCATCGTGCCTGTAGCAAGTGTTTTAACCTTCTATACCATATATCTGGCCTTCATTATGACATTTTCATGTATACTTTTTGTTGATACCACAATCCTTACCCCAAACCCTCCTCTTTGTTCTTATTGTTCCCTTTCCTCCAGATAGTTTTCTGATGTCCTTTAATGAGAACATGACTTACAGGATTCGAGCATACTGTAACAGCCTCGCGCCACCTTAACCATCCCGTCTCCAAATACAGCCATGTCCTGAGGCACTGCCTGGCTTTGGGGGAAGACTCAATTCAGTCCACTACAATGTCTGATGATACATGTACGGAGAGGTTGCTCCACCTCAGATGGCTATCAAGATGAGACAGAGGGCTCTGGGGATGAGAGAGCATTTGAGTAGAACATGGACCAGAGTGCACATGTCCAGCTGGGGGCTGAGTGGGCAAGACCATGGAACATATTAACTTCTGTGACAGGAAGACTTTAGCAAAGTAAGTTCCTGTCTGAATATATCACCCAGAAAGAGCTTACCCTGGGTCCCTAAAGTTTCCCAATAAGCTCTGCCTGCACTGTCATAAGCTCTTGCTCCCTCTGTTGCACAAGAAAGTCAAAACTCAACTGATTAAGTTTCTCAAGATTCAGAATGAGACTCAGGAGTGCCAGGATTAGAGGCACTGGCTTGTTTCACCACACTACACCTGAAAGCCCAGTATTCTAAAAAACTGACACTCAGGATGAATGACGCCACTTTCTCTTAGTTCTGGATCCTGGTCTGATGCTGTAGATGTAAATATAGAACCTGGAGCAACTGCAGAAACCAAGAAATAGAAGGGGACCACAGGAGAGCGGAGCTCTGCAGAGGGCAGAAGACACAGGCACAGGTCTAACAGGACAGCCGGGATTACAGAGAACGCACCTCCCAGACCAACACAGGCTGCTGCTCTTCCCCTTGGCCGCCTCCCAGGACCTAATAGCACTTCTTGTTCAAGTTTAGCCCCTGTAAAGGATTAGGTTTCTTGTGGCAGTTTTGGTTTTGGAGATAAAAGTCTCTCTCTGTAGCCTTAGCTGTCCTGGAGCTCACAGAGATCTTCCTGCTTCTGCCTCCTCAGTCCTAGGATAAAGGGTGAATACCACCTGACTCCTATAACGGACTGGTGAGCCCAGAAGTCTCTGGAAAAATAAACATGGGGCCTTTAGTAAAGGTGTTTCTTAGATATGAAGAAAAGGGGGATAGTAAAGAGCTGGAGTGAGAACATGTACCATTTCCAGCCCTTTTTCATGCAGCCACTCTTCCTCTGTTGTCTTTTTTTCAAGTCGGGGCAACCTCTGGCTTAACTGCTCCACGGGGTTCAGAAGACCTGGGACATTTTATTACCTTCTTCTGCTTCTTCTAAAGGAAATGGAATAAAGGCAAAGATATACAGGGGGAGGGGAGTGGATAGGGACAGGGAGATAGCCCAACAACCTGAGTTTGATCCCCAAGACTCCTGTAAAAAGCTTGATTCAGTGGAGCACATACGTAATTCCAGTATTCCTATTGAGATGCAGAGTCAGGAGAACCGCTCAGAAGCCTATTGGTCAGTTAGTCTGGAGTACACAGCTCAGTGGCAGAAACAAGAGACCCTGCCTCAACAAGGTGAAACGCCAGAACCAACTCCATAAACTGTCCTCTGATCTCCACACATACATCAGAAAGCATGCACACCTACAGTCTAACACATATACAAAAAATAAAATTAAACACAATTTTTCACTAACAGAATAAAATGAAATGGTTATACCAGTGAGACAGGAGAGCCTGGCTGAGACATAAATGTCTCAAAGACCTTACATTCTGGTTTTATTCTGAATAAAACCAGATGACCCAGGGGGCCCCCAGTATCACACTTCTATTGCAAGCCTCCACAGTGGTGGAGTGGGTCACACCCAC